AAATCTCTTCAATGCTCGTAATATGGAAAACATTAAAGAAATTAGACAACAAATTTCTGATGCCATTAACAAAAGATATTCTAAACTCCAAACTCACCCTACTTCTATGATTAATAGTATCCTCAATCATCACAAAGATCTAGTGTAATTTAGAAATGAATATGTACGTATATATACTTAAAAACTAATAGGCTTATATATATATATTTAATTTATATAAATAAATATATAATATTAGAGAAATTATAATTAAAATAATTATATATACATAATTAATTATATTACATATATAATAAATAGAGATGTAGTAACTTAGTGTAGTGGTCTAGTCATCACCCTCTCCAAGTGGCAGGTCTAGAGTTCAAATCTCACTAGCGACGATATTTGAAAAATAGGTCTGTGTTTCTTGTATTTGGTTAACAGCTATGCTTATTGGTTGGATCTAGAATTAATTTGTAACTTCAGTCACACTATCTTGTAATAAGAGCTTTGGCGTAATAAATCTGAGAAACAAGCATAACCAAAAACCCATTTGAGAAGTCCCAAATCTGAATATAATAGTGATTTTTGATAGTATCACAGAAGGGCTAAATTCGAACTGGGGCCTGAGATTAGAGAACCAAGTGACCAGGTTCTATGGCAGAGAATACACTAGCCAAACTGATAGGTTGTCGCACCAGAGAAAAAGGGCATATGCTCCAAAAGTATGAACCAAGGAGAGAGCATCTTTCAGGCATCTAAATTCTGAGCATACTAACCCTTCTGGGTTGCCGACTAGAAGTAAGAGATGAACCAATAGAGAATCTGAGTAAGGAGACAGTTCCAAGTTTGGGTACCGGGGTTGTTGTAAACTATTAAGGACAATGAGTACGTAATGGAAAACTAATTAGCAAGGTTGTGGTTTAAGATATAGATCGTGTTATGGCAGTGCCTTAAAGAGTAGCTTGAGATACAGACTCAGTGTCAGCAGCACAACAGGTACTAACTAGGAAGATATTATGGAACATGTAGGTGAATGCATATGTAGGACATGTACCACTCTGTTGGGCTTATTTTCAAGGATAGTAAAGTGTTCTAAGTTGGCTATTTATATAGTTGTGTCGCAAAACCTACATTTGAATAGTGAGTTACACCCACATTAAGATTGGCATCAGGTCAAATATGTTAAGATCAAAGGGTTTAAATGGGTACCCCCTAGTCAGGATGCAGGTATAGCAGATAGTGTAGAACCTTCAGGTAAACTACTTAAATTAGACACCCAAAAGGTGCACTTGTGGCTATATGTACCTTCGTCTATATATATAGTGTATGAACTCGACTTAATAAAAATCACCTACCAAAAAAGGTCTCCTTTAATTAAAAAAAAAATACATATATAATAAATATACAAATTTATTTAGAATCAGGATATACTGTAGTTTTTAAAGCATTAACAAAACCACTCCATAGATCATTTCTATGTTTTTTTCTTTATATAAATTTAGTAAGATGACTAGAAACTTCATCTTTGGTTTTATTACGGGGTGGAATCCTTAGTTTTAAACTATTCTATAGGCCTTTGATAGTATTAGTATGAACTCTAGTTATGGGATCAACAAAGTTTACTGAATGATTTACTGTATTATGGGTTATCAACTTCCAAATATATATGCCAGCAATCTGTATGTATAATAGAACCTATCAGAACATGTCTGAATATTACCTCAAGTAATGTTTTGGTGGTTCTATTTAGTACTACTTCAACAAAGCACTTTTTTTTCTCAGTTCACTCAACTCCACCAATAACCCAAACTTCCTCAACTCAATGACCCCTATAATACTTTCTTTTACCTAATTTAGTCTCATCAATTTCAACAATTATATTAGATTCACCAATTATATTATTATCATTTTTTAATGTACTAGCAACTAGCTCTCTAAATAAACTTAAATAGTTTGTAATAGTAGCTAACGAATGACTTGTCATACTTAATATACTCATGTGTATAACTTTGCATAACCAAAGATAACCAATTAACATAGTATCAGAACATTTTAAACAGTTTTTTGAAAAAAAAGAATCTTTTAATATAGAAAAAGATTTATAATATTCATGATTAACACATTTAAAAAGTTTTTGTTTTTCTAAGTAAAGCAAAGCATTACAAATAGAACAATTTTGAGGTTTATATAAAATATTTTTACTAAATAAAAATTCTATATATCTGTCTTCATTAAAAAAAAGGGCTTGATAAGACTTTAAAGTCAGAAATGAAACTGCATCAAACATGTTTGAAGCTTTTTTACTTTTGCTCAAAGAAATTCCAATACACATATATTGAAAAAAAATAATACAATCGATATATAGTATAAATTTATGCTAGTAAAGATATAATTGTTAAAAAAAAATCAACGCATAAATTCATGATCAAAAATCAACATATTCATTATCAAAAAATCAATGCATAAAAGAATTAGTTAATATTAAAAAAAAGATTAGTGCATAAATTCACAATTAAAAATCAACACATTAATTAATACAACTGAAAACACCTAAAAGCTATAACTAAAAAATTTAATGAGCTAGTGATTCAAACTAATTAATTAATACCTATGATTAAATGGGTAACTAAAAAGTTTCAAACTTCGAATTCCAAGAAAAAAAAAAGCTAAAGAAATGATTATCAGAGTTTATGACCCTTATCAAAAATATAAATAGCTGGAGAAGCTTTGGATTCAAAGAAAAAAAAAAGCCATGAGAATTGTTACTGAAACTTATGACTCTTATCAAAAAGATGAATAGCAGAAGAAAAAGAAAAAAAGCGAATTCTCATAGCTTACCAGAATTAAAACTCCTAATCAAAAAGATGAATGGTAGAAGAAGCTTTGAATTTAAAGAAAAAAAGCTAATAAGAAATTATTACTGAAACTTATAATTCTTATTAAAAAACGAATAGCTGGAGAAACTTCGAATTCAAAGAAAAAAAGTGAAATCCTCCTAATCAAAAAGATGAATAGCAGGAGAAGCTACAAATTTAAAAAAAAAAAGCCAATGAGAAATTATTACTGAAACTTATAACCCCTTATCAAAAAAGATAAATGGCTAGAGAAACTTCGAATTCA